TGACTTCTGAGGTGTGGTATGGTGATGGCACTACATGCAGCCATATGGGATTCAGACCTTGGGACTGCTATCAGACTTGTGCTCCCTTGTCCTACAAACCCATAGCCCAGGCACACACACTTCAATGGCAGGATGCCGATGGAGATCAGTGAAAATCAGAATTTCCATCCTTTCGGAAATTCTAACATTTCAACATTTGTTTTTATCCTGAAATGGGGCAAAGTTGAACCATCAGTTTTTTTAATGGAACAAAAGTTCCCTAAAATTTTGACTCAGACATGAAATAAAACATTTTGTTTTGAATCAGCTTGACAATAAACTGCACCATGCGGCTTGGGCAGAAGGGAGACTGTGGTGCAACATGAGAGATGTAGTCTGGCCACGGAACCTGGCCCAGAGAAGAGAATGAGGATGTGGGGAACCCAAACTGCAACTCCCAGGAGGCAGTGCTGTACAAACTACTGATACAGCTTAATGATGAACCAACACTAAACAAAGTGCTTTGGTTCAGTTCAACAACTGAAATGTTTCAATTCAGTTCAAACTGACCTGCCACAAAATAATTTGATTTGATTTTTCTGATGGAAAGCCAAAAAAATTGGCAAAAGTGACATTTTTCTTGCATTTTCTACTGAAAAATCCTTTTGTTGGAAAATTCTTAACCAGCTCTATCAATCACATGGAATTCACCCATATGGTCCTAACAGAGATCCCTTTTCAATGAGTCAGGAAAAAGTTAAAGCACCCGGTGTGCCCTCCCTCCTCCCCGCCAATAGAAAATGACTTCCAGAGCCAAAATGTTGCCATTTGTGCCTGTTAGCAGAATTACAGTGGTTAAGTATCCATCCCAGTTATACTGTGAGACAATGCAGGAGACCAATCCCCTCATCATATGTAAAACAAGAAGTTATTGCCCTGGGACTATTAACCAAAGAAATAATGCAATTATGAGAACTGTTAATCAGTAGCTCTGTCTCTCTCTTGGGATGTCTGCTGCATCCATTAATTTGCACTTCTCTTGCACCTTTCATCTAATCATCCCAAAGTATTTGTCAGTTTGTTTAAGCCTACAGCATCTCTTGAAGCTAGATAGCTAATTTACACAGTGGTAAACTGAGGTACGGGAAGGCTAAGGGGCTTGAGCAGAGTTACAGCAGCCAGTGGCAGAACAGGAAATACCAGATTTCTTGACTTCAGTTCTCCTATGCTAACTGCTGCACAATCCTGCCTCTCAAAATTCCCAAAGCAGTTCAGATACATTTCTGCTCCACCCCAAAACAAACAAATGATAAATTATGCAAGGAACGTTAACAGGAAAGACTCCTCTAAAACCATCAGACAGCACTTCTACAAGCACCATGTGATGGGCCAGATCCCCAGCAGTGTTATCCAGAGTAGCTCCATTGACTCTTGTGTTGCTTTCACCTGTTTATACCAGCTGAGAATCTGGTCCCTAAAACTGAAAAGTTCCTTTGTCCTTTTTTTATGCGTATAAATTGAGTGAGTGGATGAAGAGATGATGTAGCAAAAATTGTAAAACCACACTTAGCGTGTATATAGAAACCCCCCTGAAGAAAAGCTGGGGATGTAAGATGGGACAGTAAAGTTCAGTGACATTGACCTGATATACTTATTTTTTTAAACCCCTTGCATATACAAATAACCATTCAGATGTTTTACTAGTTCTTGTTAATGATAAAAACCCTCCATTTTCTGGTTTGGAAGACAAATGAAGGTGCTCTCTGTGCCTGCACACGTGCGTCTGTACACACGTGTGTAGAAGGGTGATATTACGTAATATAAATTTTCCCACTGTCTCCAAAGAGTTAATTATGGCACATCATAAACTCTGATTCATATTTATGTTCCTTATTTTATTCTGAACTATTCTATCAGGAGCAACCTCAAAAAAGGCTAATTTCTAAGTGTTTCCTCTACCAAAGTTAGTAAATATTTGACAAATGAAATATGAAAAATTTAATTGGCCTGGGAAGAGTTACTGTTTTAAATCTGGTGACACTGAAGGGGAGCATATGTGGATTTAAGTCCTGCTTCAGTATAGCCATAATTCTGAAGCTGCTAGGGTGCCTCCATAACTATTAGGAAAATATAAGCTTTTCATAATCCCCCCCCCCCCGCCAATCTTTTTGTCTAGTCTAGTTAAATTATACAGTACATTCGCTGTACAATTTCAACGTATAATCACCACGGTGACAGCTGCTGGTGATAATACTAGGGATGGGTTTGGAGCTGAATACCCAAATTTGATTAGTAGACTTTTTATCTTCGATGGGGAAACTCCCCCCTCCTCCTTTTCTTCAGGGACCTTTTGTTCCTGTGACCTTCCTTGATTAAGGATGAAACTCCCTTCCTGGTTAATCCATGCTGCTCCTAGATTTGATGCAGAAATCACGAGTGATAAGAGTCCACAGCACTCACAGACACCTGTCAGAGCAAAGAAGGAGAAATTGACCTCCTCCACTGGCTCCCTTGGTGAAGCCTCTTTAGTGTGGAACTGAGGTAGGCAGTAAATACTAACAGAGTTAATCGCTAATAGAGGAACCTTGTCCTGCACCATTCATTGAATTTCCTATAAGCATTTAGCTTTTAAATGAACAGCGGCTGTGGATGTTATGTTGCATTACACCAATGTGCGTAGTGGTCATTTGGATCTATGATGATTAACTAATAATACTCTAAATAGGCCCTGACCTAATAGCCTCTAATTTCCCTGAATTACACAGCTGCTCTGTGAGTCTGAATTTAATCAAGAAGCCACTCTGAGAGCTGTTTGTAAATAGCCATCTATTTATTATCTAAAATGTTAACTCTTTAACAGCCATCCAGTTTTATAGCCCTTGGAGTACTCTGTTCTGGCCTGCATTAAAAAGAGAAGTGCCACTTTCCCTGGCCTCCTAGGAAGAAGGCTCCATTTAGTGACCTCAGAGAGATTATTGCCGGTTTATTGGTAATGCAGTTCATGGATAGAATAAATAACAAGTAAATAAGGAGAGACTGTTAGAGAGCTTATTCCTTCACTCTCCCACTTCCCTGGTTCTTCTCGCATGAACAGAGAGCAACAATACCCGAAGTCCGAAGGTGCAAACAATTCGATGTTTATTGGGGTGAACTTCCAGCAAGCTAAATACAAGTTCCTTTTTCCTTATTTTCGAATCCCAACTTACTTCCTGTTTGTCCCTAATTTATATAGTAATATTCTTAGCTATACCTTAACCAATCATTCTACTAAAATTTAACTAACCAATCCTAACATATTGTAACATGATCAGCTAACCAATTATATCCCACCACCTTAATTAGATTACACCCAGCAAAATTAATTATACAGCAGACAGAAACAATCACAGAACCAGACAGAGATTATACAGACAAACAATAACAAAGTGGGAACTATAATGACAAAACAATACAGGAGTGAGGATTTCACATCCCAGTATTGATAAGTGAGTTCTTGCCAGACAGGATGCTGTTTCCTTTTACATTCTCTAGGCACTCCCTTTCTCTGGAGGTGATAGGCATTATCAGGACAGGATTGTATTCCTAACAGCCCAATAGCACCTTCTTTCAGTGTGACTAGTTTGGAATGTGAGGATGTGACCTGTCGCTTCCCAGCTTATGGCTGCCTCTGCTGCTTAGCCAAAGGCCTTAGCCTAAGCACAGGGCCTCAGACTGTCACAGTAAGAAAAGGCCCTTATACTGGCAGACAGTGATTTTGATTCTTTCTTTTATACCTCTAACTAGCCAAGTGATAAGAATACACCTAAATTCTTAAAGTATAGGCCTTTATAGACAGGCCTGAATATCTATATCCTAACAGAGACAATCTGTATAGAATCATAGAGCCATACATTCAGGTAGGGGTCGTTTGTTTCTGTGTGTTTGCGGGGGGGGCTTAACTCTTGACAGCAAAGCTATTGGAGCCTGTACAGTCACCAGCATCTTGAAATGGAATTATGGACCCATAATTCAAAATGTGCTCTCTTGTTTTTAGTGTATAGATTTTTAAACCAGTTTGGATCCTTTCCCTTCCATGTACTGCCCTCTGGCCTACTGTGACCTCCTGGCCTGCTCCCCACCTCATGTCCTGGGCACCTTCATGTAGTGTGTCCTGGCTTGGGTATTTGGACTGATGTTCAAGATTTTGGACTGATGTTCAAATTTTCCTTTCCCTACTTTTGCATCTCCAAGCCCTCTTTTGCTTGCTAGTCTCTGTTAGATTATTTTGCCCATAATATGGAGAGTCACAGCAGTCCCCATTCCTGAGAGACCCAATTACAACCCCTTGAAATCAAAAGTAAAACTATTACAAGAAAGCAAATTAAGTTTCCGATCCCATTCTGTGTATCTGGTATTTACAGTAAAGGGTGATGCTGAACCAAAGGAGAAAAGACAAATAGTTTTACATCTCCCCACCATATAGAGACCTGGGTAGCTAAACCACTACCAGTTTATACCATGTTTGACATCCATGGGGTGTAAATTTGATAATGTGATTAAAGCATTGTTCACATGACAAAACTAGACTGGAGGAAAAAGCTGGATATTTCTTATGTCAAAAACTGTAAAGTAGGAGTGAGATGTCAGGGAGTAACAATTGGTTAGCTCTGATTTCTAATGCTTTATATAATAATTTGAACAACTGCTCTTATTCAGTCTGGTATCTCTAATGTATTTCTTCTGAACGCTCCCTAATATGATTCTGCACCCTATTTGGCCATTTGAGACTGGAATTTCAAAGAAGTCTGAGATAGGTGCCCAGTTCCCTTTAAGGCACCCAACTCCCTTAAGCTCTTTGAAAAGTCCAGTCGCAGTGCTCCTGATGCTAAGGACATTTGCTAATAAGTACTGGCCCTGAAAGAGCAGCAGTTCCCCCACATTGTGTTATTCACAAGCTATTAGCATCATGCAAATTGAAATATTGAAATAACTTTATGATGTATATCTGAAAGATGAAAACTAGATAACGGCTTTCCCCCTACCTTAAAAGTTAGCTGTGTGTCCAGAAGCGGTCCTGTATATTTATAAAAGCTGTTTCTTCCCAAAGGCTGTCCCACACATTCCTAAGGCAAAACTTTCTCAGTGGTACTTACAGTCACTGGCAGATGCTGCTTTTTCAGAGTCTTTAGCTCATGACATAGTTTCTGTTGTTTAACTGATCCTGGTAGGTGAAAACCTTTCCACACCAGTGATGAAACAGCAAAACCTAGAGTTAAAAGCTTTCCCTTCCAGGACTCCTCTGGGTTTGTTTTGCTGTGGCTGAACTCTGAGCTTATTTCCCGATTATGAAGATTCCTGTTACCATAAATGGTAAGGTATGAATGGATGCAGTCCTTTTAAGATTAATTGCTAAAAAGTAGAAAGCCACAATGTTCAGAGGCTTGACTCTCGTTTCCACTAAAGCTCCTTTCCTGTGCTCTGGCCATGTAAAGGTAATTCAAAGCAGGTCTGCTTATGTTCTCTTTACACTGCCAGGGCACTAGAAATTGACTTTAGTATAAAAGAGAATCGGGCCCTTTGTGTTCAATCTAAAAGTAATGACCCTGCTACCAATGACAGTTTTTTTAAAAAAATGATACATTACACCCATGGGCAAGAAAAGTAAAGTAATCTGAACTTGTATTCACTATTCTGAAGTTAGCTAACTGCATTTAAGTTTCATTTTTGGAGTTAAAGGAGCCTGATCTTTTCTAAAGATCAAAATGCCAGGGCTGTACGTAAAAACTGAGCATGTGATTACTGTTGCATATGCAAGCAGTGCTCTAGAGGTAGATGCCTATCTGGATCTCTACATGCACAAAATTTAGATGCAGAATTGCAGTATGTGCGTATTTAATATGCCACAGAGTCATGCTTCGCTTCGTGATATTTTGAAAATTAGGCCTTCAGAGAATTTAGACAAGTAATAAGAAACAGATTGATACAGAATGAAACGAGTTCTACACACAATCAGCATAGTGCAGACAGCAGTAACACCAGCCTTCCCTTCCAATGTGCCTGAGTCTTAATCTTGGAAAGTCATGCTGAGTTGACACTTTCAGGAAGAGTGCTTTAGTGGCAACAGTGTTGGAAATATTCTTTTTTATGTTGACACCTTATTGTCCAGTAGGTCTTGAGTTAAGTCTGACAATTCTTTCCACATAGGCCACAGAAAAGCCACCAGCTACTAATCATTTTTTGTTTCCATTGATTTTGGTCAGAGTTGAGCTAATGGACAATGGCATTGCAGCAGTGTAAATCAGAGCAGAGTTCAGCAAAATCAATTTTTTCTTGTAATGCTTTTATCTAACTCCCAGTGTGATGCTATAACTTAAAGGATGAATGTGAGACTTGGAAATATAAGCAGGGAGATATTAAGTAGGAGCAAGAAGGTGGTTTTACTTCTATACACAGCTTCACTGAGACTATTTCTGGATTACTGTGTCTAGTTTAGTTGTCCAAAAAGATGTTGAAAAAATTGGTTCAGAAAAAAGCTTTAAACAATGAGGTCTAGAAAACATGCCTTCTAGTGAGAGACTAAAGAAGCTCAAACTACCGGTATTTAGTTTATCCAAGGTGACTTGATTATGACTTAGAGGTGACTTGATTATGGTCTTCAAGTATCTACATGGAGAGGAGATTTCTGATGGTAAACTACTCTTTTTAATATAGCAGAAAAAGTCATAACATGCTTCATAAAGTAACAATCCAGTGTGTTGGAAGCTGAAGTTATACAATTTGGACGAGCAATAAGGTGCAAATCTTTAAAAGTGAGGGTAAAACCATTAGAAGAAACTTACTTAGAAAAGTAGTTGTCAAGGTTCCTTCCCCACTCTGAACTCTAGGGTACAGAAGTGGGGACCTGCACGAAAGACCCCCTAAGCTTATTCTTACCAGCTTAGGTTAAAACTTCCCCAAGGTACAAACTTTTACCTTTTGCCCTTGGACCTTATGCTGCCACCACCAAGCGTGTTAAACAAAGAACAGGGGAAGTGCCCACTTGGAGATGTCTTCCCCCCCCCCAAATATCCCCCCAAGCCCTACACCCCCTTTCCTGGGGAAGGCTTGATAAAAATCCTCACAAATTTGCATAGGTGTACACTGACCCAAACCCTTGGATCTTAAGAACAATGAAAAAGCAATCAGGTTCTTAGAAGAAGAATTTTAATTAAAGAAAAAGTAAAAGAATCACCTCTGTAATCAGGATGGTGAATACCTTACAAGGTAATTAGATTCAAAACAGAGATTCCCTCTAGGCAAAACCTTAAGTTACAAAAAGACACAAAAACAGGAATATTCATTCCATTCAGCACAGCTATTTTACCAGTCATTTAAACAAAACAGAAATCTAACGCATATCTAGCTAGATTACTTACTAAGTTCTAAGATTCCCTTCCTTTTCTGTTCCCAACAAAGCATCACACAGACAGACAGGACCCTTTGTCCGCTCCCCCCCCCCCCCGCCAGCTTTGAAAGTATCTTGTCTCCTCATGGTCATTTTGGTCAGGTGCCAGTGAGGTTATCTTAGCTTCTTAAACCTTTACAGGTAAAAGGGTTTTTCCTCTGGCCAGGAAGGATTTAAAGGTGGTTAGCCTTCCCTTTATATTTATGACAGTAGTGGATTCTCCACTATTTACTACTTCATATTAAGATTGGATATCTTTCTTAAATACATGGTATAGCTCAAATGGAAGTTAAGGGCTTGATGCAGAAAAACACTGGGTGAGGTTTTTGGCTGGTGTTATGCAGGAGGTCAGAGTAGATAATCACAGTGGTCTCCACTAGCTTTAAAACTGACGAATCTTCATTTCTTGTTGTCCTTTCTCTTCATCGCAATCTCATCATGTCCACAGACTAATGCACTCAGGCTGATTTTAGTTTGAAGCATAGATTCCAAGGCCAGAAGGGCCCATTGTGATCATCTAGTCTGATTTCTTGTATAACACAGGCTATAGAATTCCCAAAAATTATTTCTAGGGCAGATCTTTTAGGGGGGAAAAATCAATCCATACGTGAAGGCATTTCACTGCAAAAGCAATGGCAAAACTTGTATACTTCCCAGACAAAATACTGCTAGAGTGAAAAACCAAGGTTCCACTAAGTGTAGCAGGGAAGAGATACTCATAGCATTTGACTGTGTAGCATCAGACTGCTCTGGCCATGGTTAAAGTTGACACCTTAGACTTGAACCATGCTGATGCTCCAGTTCCATTTGTTAAAGGCTCCCTGTCCCCTCTTGCTCACATGTCTATGGTTGTTACACGCACATACATGTACGGACGGGCACACACACATACATTTTTCTATCTCGATAGTACTGTATCTAAGTACAAGTAGGCATGGGAGACAGTATTGGCACAAACAAAAAACAAATCAATATAGGAGAGCTGGAACATGTGACGGGATCAGAGATTCATGTCTGATAAACATTCCAAAGTTGGGATGCTTCTCTGAGACTTTATGGGGACTATGCACATGGGCAGACTGCGGTATCTGTGTGGAGCCCCACTGACTTCAGTAGTGCTCCTGGCAGGCACAGCCAGATCAAGCTTTTGTCAAATCTGATCTGAACCTTTTTGGGTCTCAAGAATTGGACTGAAAATCTAATGAGATTTTTGTAAGCAACTGCCTCTGAGCTGGCTAGAAATACTACATGAGGTCATTCCTGAGGCTTGCTGACACTTTTACTTCTGGTCCTGGCTGTAACTTCGTAGTGTGGAGGCAGCAAAAATAACCAAACAGTGGGAAGAAGAGTTGTCCAAACTTTCCTGAACTTCCAGTGTTAATTTTGGGTTCAGCTCAAGACTCTTACCAAAACTTCAGCTCAATTCTTGTTTTATCCCTGTTAATTTATCCCCTTCTCTCTGGAACAGAAAATGGGAGAAACTGGATGAGCTTTGATTGTTGTGAATTTTTCTAAAAAGATGACAACTCCAGCTGGAATGAGAAAAAACATAAGCCCTTAAGCTGTTGAGGGATCTGAATTTAGAAGTCACCAGCTCCAGAACCCTAATTAGTTAACTGTCTAGTAAAAGAGAATTAAGTTAAAGATTGTATGGGGAATTATTTTCACTACACTGCCATGCTTGGAAGTTTAAAAGCTCTTCAAAGAGAAAAGTGATGGAAGAGAGAAAGTGTGGGTGTTTAAATCAAAACTAGAGGAAGTGTAAACATTAGCATGAAGGGATTTGTGAAATATAAATAATGATATGATTAACTGGTCTATAAGACCTACCTGGCCAAAGGAGGAAGTGGCAGAGATGGGGAAAATAGTAATGCAAAAAACTTGCTTTGCCAATATTAACAGCTTTTTCCAGAGGGCAAACACGCAAAGCTTAGAGTGTACTGCCTTTCATCCAAATGCTGACTTCCCATTGTAACCAGTGGGAATTCCCTGTTCCTGTCAAAGGTGCTATGTGGCTCAGAAAACTAAGCTAAGCTAAGTTGAATGTGGCCTGATTCTGTAGGATGCTGAGTGTATTAATCTTTAACTCTCTTTAGTGCCCATATATTAGTTATAATTACATCAATAATACAGGGGAGGTGGGCATTTTAGCTAACACTTATTTGCATTTTCTTTTGATCCCTTAGCACTTAAATGAGCTGGTTGAACTATTCCTTTTGGATTTTATGCATTAGGAATGGGGCTGCTCATATAGTGTGTCAGTCTATCTGAAGCTAATCTTTACTTTTGATTTTTATTTGTGTTTGCTGAGTTGTTCTGTGGAATAACTTTCAGCTCAGTGGTTGCCTGCCAAGTATTGCTTTCATTACTTGTGGTGTGTGGTTGATCACTTGTCACATGGCATTGGTTCTGCTCACCTGCAGGGTGACTGAAACTTTTTAAGCAGAAAAATAATTAATATCTGATTTGAATTTTCATGTGAACAAAACATACTTGTGGTTAAAATGACTTCAACGTTAGTGATTCATGAACGTTTTGATGTAGAAAATTATTATGACTCCATGAGTCACAGTGAACCAGAGCTGGCACTATTATCTGCAAATATATACACACTTTGGTATTCCTATTATATGGTCAGCTTTAGCATGTCTGTTATGCCAACTCCATCTCTTAACACTTACCTCATTTTATTTTACATGCGATCATAATCTCACACTTGTTGATGTATATATTGCACCATCATACGCACGATTTACATTTCACCTGGTTTAAAAGGAAGCACAAGAGGAAGTGCTGAGTAACTATCTTCTTTTGTTTTTCTTTTGTCTATGATACTAAGGCCTTGTTCTGCTTGGATTTTTGGGGGGTGTGGGTGGGGGAGTATAAGTGAT